AGAGTTTAAGTAATTTTCCCTTCAAGGAAAGCTCCATGATGCTGGTGAGGGCTCTTGATCTAAAGAATGTGACTTGTGCTTCCCGTCCTTGGAGAACTTCACTATATACCAATCCTCCAGGCTCTGTGTGATCCCGACGGGTTTATGTCAATTATTGCATAACGACACTTATTTTTTTTAAGTAAACTATTATTTTCTTAGTAAATCATTATAAGTTAATATAATAAACACACTGTTATAATTAGGTTATTAATACATTTATGCACGGGTGGTGATGTAACGTCAGATGAAGTCACATCGTGATGAAGGAAGTTGTTGAAGACGACCGGTGACACAGTAGGATGTGTGTTGTGTGTCACTACTCCGATTGCTGCTTATTTAAGGCATATTTATTAGTTTTGTTTGAAGTTGTGATTATAATTAACTCCATCAACAGTGTATGAAATGTATGAAATGTATGATTTGTTGCTGAAGGTAAAGAAAGTGATGAAAGTGATGAAAGTGATTTTCTGGCAGGTACCAAGCACCCAGGAGCCTGGATCTGCCGACCAGTGTTTACATCGTTAATTAGGTACCAAGCAACGCATCATGGCAGTTGTAGTTTTTAAGACTATTATTATTATAATCAAGGGGGAAGCGCTAAACCCGGAGGATTATACAGCGCCTGGGGGGGGGGGGATGTGGAAGGCATTCAGGCTTAATTCGGGGAACTGGAGCACAGATCCAATTCCCTAAATCAAGAACCCCTCACCAACATCAAGGAACCTTCCTTGAGGGGTAGTTTTAAAGAGTGAAAGATAACTTCTCGAGTTTAACAATTATGTCACGTGAAAGTATAAGAGTATTAGTGCAGTGTAAGTCGTAAATAATGTCTCTCTTTGTTATTATAGTGTTTTATGGCATATAATTTATTCTTCTTGTGACCAAGAAAATAAAACATAAATTGTTTATAGTGTTTTATAGTATATAATTTACTCTCCTTGTGACCAAGAAAATAAAACATAAGTTGTTTATAGTGTTTTATAGTATATAATTTACTCTCCTCGTGACCAAGAAAATAAAACAAATTGTTTATAGTGTTTTATATCATATAATTTACTCTCCTTGTGACCAAGAAAATAAAACAAATTGTTTATAGTGTTTTATAGTATATAATTTACTCTCCTTGTGACCAAGAAAATAAAACAAATTGTTTATAGTATTTTATAGTATATAATTTACTCTCCTTGTGACCAAGAAAATAAAACAAATTGTTTATAGTATTTTATAGTATATAATTTACTCTCCTTGTGACCAAGAAAATAAAACATAAATTGTTCACATATTTTCTCCTTGTGTTGGAATTAATTATAACTAACTCTTGGCACTGTGATTGTTCATTTCCTTTATGTTTAAATACTTCAAGAGAACATTCCAATACACTTTTAAGCGTTAAACAGAACATTCCAATACACTTTTAAGCGTTAAACAGAACATTCCAATACACTTTTAAGCGTTAAACAGAACATTCCAATACACTTTTAAGCGTTAAACAGAACATTCCAATACACTTTTAAGCGTTAAACAGAACATTCCAATACACTTTTAAGCGTTAAACAGAACATTCCAATACACTTTTAAGCGTTAAACAGAACATTCCAATACACTTTTAAGCGTTAAACAGAACATTCCAATACACTTTTAAGCGTTAAACAGAACATTCCAATACACTTTTAAGCGTTAAACAGAACATTCCAATACACTTTTAAGCGTTAAACAGAACATTCCAATACACTTTTAAGCGTTAAACAGAACATTCCAATACACTTTTAAGCGTTAAACAGAACATTCCAATATACTTTTAAGCGTTAAACAGAACATTCCAATACACTTTTAAGCGTTAAACAGAACATTCCAATATACTTTTAAGCGTTAAACAGAACATTCCAATATACTTTTAAGCGTTAAACAGAACATTCCAATACACTTTTAAGCGTTAAACAGAACATTCCAATACACTTTTAAGCGTTAAACAGAACATTCCAATATACTTTTAAGCGTTAAACAGAACATTCCAATATACTTTTAAGCGTTAAACAGAACATTCCAATATACTTTTAAGCGTTAAACAGAACATTCCAATACACTTTTAAGCGTTAAACAGAACATTCCAATATACTTTTAAGCGTTAAACAGAACATTCCAATATACTTTTAAGCGTTAAACAGAACATTCCAATATACTTTTAAGCGTTAAACAGAACATTCCAATATACTTTTAAGCGTTAAACAGAACATTCCAATATACTTTTAAGCGTTAAACAGAACATTCCAATACACCTTTAAGCGTTAAACAGAACATTCCAATACACTTTTAAGCGTTAAACAGAACATTCCAATATACTTTTAAGCGTTAAACAGAACATTCCAATATACTTTTAAGCGTTAAACAGAACATTCCAATACACTTTTAAGCGTTAAACAGAACATTCCAATATACTTTTAAGCGTTAAACACATCACTTCTCAATATATGATTTAATATATAAAACGCTTTCATTTATATCGCTATATTAATTTTCCTTTTCATTTATAGATTTGTTAAATAGTTTTTATATGTGTAACTGCCAATTTGTATATTTTATTAAACAAATTTAGATGTTTTTATAAGATGCCTTGAGAACACATCACTGTCTTGGCTTCAAACCTTCTACACTTGAGTGTCTTATCTAAATTATAATAAAGGAGGAAGCGCTAAACCCGGATGATTATACAGCGCCTGGGGGAGATGTGGAAGGCATTCAGGCTTAATTTGGGGAACTGGAGCACAGATCCAATTCCCTAAATCAAGAGCCCCTCACCAACATCAAGGAACCTTCCTTGAGGGGGTCTTATCTAAAGAAATATATTTTTGTTGGGTTTTGTTAGCGATATTTCGCAAATTACATTTTTTAATCCAACACAAGCAATGAAAAAATAAAAATAAGAAATTCTTTGGAAAACTACTCAGTTGTTTTTTCTAGCAGTTTTCTCTTGAATTTCAGGTGTTTAACTCGGTTGAGATCCAGCTCCCGAGCCTCTTATCAGCACTGATTTATACCTCCTGTACCTCTTAAGGGAGTTGATCTACAGTTTCTGGGTTTTTCGAAATTGTCAAGCCTAAAATAATAGGCTTCTTGGGTGCATTATGCTGAACATTCAGAGCCTCTTGAAGATACTCACCCTCCTGCAAGGGTTGAGCTATAGCTCTTAATTCTTTTAAGTGAGTTGAAGAGCAGCTTCTCTCCTTTTGGGTATTGAGGTACTCCTATGTTTCTTACATGCATTAAGCAAGGTACAAGAGGCCGGGTTGGTTGAGAATCCTCTCCCTGACCGTGCAGTGATCGAAACACTATTTTGGTGGTAGTGGTAATTGTCGTAAAGATGGTGGCGGTAGTTGTGGTGATGGGACAGGTGTTGTGGTTGATGGTACAGGTGGTGTGGTTGATGGTACAGGTGGTGTGGTGTTGGTGCAGGTGGTGTGGTTGATGGTACAGGTTGTGTGATGATGGGACAGGTGGTGTGGTGATGATACAGGTGGTGTGGCTGATAGTACAGGTGGTGTGGTGATGATACAGATGGTGTGGTTGATGGTACAAGTGGTGTGGTTGATGATAGAAGTGGTGTGGTGATGGGACAGGTGGTGTGATGATACAGGTGGTGCGGCTGATAGTACAGGTGGTGTGGTGATGATACAGATGGTGTGGCTGATGGTACAAGTGGTGTGGTTGATGATAGAAGTGGTGTGGGGATGGGACAGGTGGTGTGGTTGATGGTACAGGTGGTGTGGTTGATGGTACAGGTGGTGTGGTGATAGTACAAGTGCTGTGGTTGATAGCATAGGTGGTGTGGTGATGGGACAGGTGGTGTGGTTGATGGTAGAGGTGGTGTGGTTGATGGTACAGTTGGTGTGGTTGATGGTACAGGTGGTGTAGTTGATTGTACAGGTGGTGTGGTTGATAGTAAAGGGTGGTGTGGTTGATGGTACAAGTGATGTGGTTGATGGGACAGGTGGTGTGGTTGATGGTACAGGTGGTGTGGTTGATGGTACAGGTGGTGTGGTTGATGGTACAGGTGGTGTGGTTGATGGGACAGGTGGTGTGGTTGATGGTACAGGTGGTGTGGTTGATGGTACAGGTGGTGTGGTTGATGGTACAGGTGGTGTGGTTGATGGTACAGGTGGTGTGGTTGATGGTACAGGTGGTGTGGTTGATGGTACAGGTGGTGTGGTTGATGGCACAGGTGGTGTGGTTGATGGTACAGCTGGTGTGGTTGATGGTACAGGTGGTGTGGTTTTATGGTACAGGTGGTTTGTGGTTGATGGCACAGGTGGTGTGGTTGATGGACAGGTGGTGTGGTTAAATGGTACAGGTGGTGTGGTTGATGGTACAGGTGATGTGTGTGATGGGACAGGTGGTGTGGTTGATGGGACAGGTGGTGTGGTTGATGGGACAGGTGGTGTGGTTGATGGTACAGGTGGTGTGGTTGATGGTACAGGTGGTGTGGTTGATGGGACAGGTGGTGTGGTTGATGGGACAGGTGGTGTGGTTGATGGGACAGGTGGTGTGGTTGATGGTACAGGTGGTGTGGTTGATGGTACAGGTGGTGTGGTTGATGGGTATATGCAGTCAGGTTAATCTTTGCATTAACCATTGAAAGGTCTTACGCTGTTACATTGAAAGAAGAAAATCGTGGGAGGAGTATCAGTGACATGAACCAGTTCGTAAGTTCCCTACTTGGATATCAGTATTTCCTGTGTTAATATTGGTTTATCAGAGGTAAGATTGATCAGTAAATAGGAGAAGAGTTACCTAACGCGGGTTTCGGCCATATAATGACCCGCCTTCAGCTGTAGCGCAACACATATGGTAAATCATCTGGGTTTTCTCCTCAATATAATGATCAAGTGTCTTAAGAGTTTAACTCATCACTAAACATGGGAAATATTAAATGGAGACAGAACGCAGTTTATTACTCAAAGAAATAAACTCATTGGTTTAACCTTTATTAGTACATATATCTGAAGACTGTTATTAACTAATAAAAAGTTTTTAATCACCAATTCTATATTTTCTGACATCCTATCTTTAATTGTACATAAAATCATCGGCAATGGCCATCCTAATATTTCTGAAGGTTTACAAATGTTTTTGATATAAATTCCAAATATTTACAGTTTATGCTTCTTTGAATTCTTTCATCAGCTAGTTAATAGAATGTTGTTTCTAATCCTATAAAAAAATTCTAATTCTTCCAGCTACTAAGAAGTCAATCTCAGTTCGTCTAGCTTTAATGAAGCCTTTGGAAGATTCTAACTTCTAGATACTAGTAAGCTATTTCCAGTAGTTATACGAAAACTATTATTATTATTAATATAATCAAAAAGAAGCGCTAAGCCACAAGGGCTATACAGACTTATGCATTTTTAACTCATTTAGATACTAGAAAAACATTCTTAATATTTTTAGATACAAAGAAGACAGTCTAATCGTTCTTCTTCTTTGACTTGCCGTCTCTACGGAAGATTTTAACATTAACCACTCTGAAGATGCGACGCAGGAAGTAGAAAAGAATGAAGAAAGTGATGTGAAATAGGAAGAGGAGATCCAGCATGAGGAACTCCACCCAGGAGAGTTGAGCAGCCGGAGACCTGAGCTGGGTGGCTCCACGGTGACGAATGACATACTCCGTCCAGAACACTGCCAACTCCCTGGGCGGTGTTACTTGATCCCTGACACCCACCGACATCCTCGTAGCTTTCTCTTTGTATCTGCTTGTGATAAGTGAAGTGCCAGAAGAAAATAAATCATTAACAAGTTTTGTACTAAATGTGTTCAGTTTCATACAGGGCATTTTAAGCTATCTATCTATCTATCTATCTTAATCGCAGACAGGCGATCTTAACTATGCAAGACAAGCCACGAAGGACAGGGGGGTAGAAATCTATTGCTCAAGTACTTTCACACTTCTCAGTGCGTTATCAGTTGCTGTGCAGTGTTGCAAGGGAGCAACCACGGTTATCCTAAGGGTAACCGTGGCCGGTGACACCTACGCTACTCTGAGACCTCTCTCCCTGCTTTGGTTGCTACCTTGCAACATTGCACAGCAACTGATGACGCACTGAGAAGTGTGAAAGTACTTGAGCTATAGATTTCCACCCCCCCCCGTGGCTTATCCTGCATATATATATATATATATATATATATATATATATATATATATATTATTTTTTTTTTATTATCACACTGGCCGATTCCCACCAAGGCAGGGTGGCCCGAAAAAGAAAAACTTTCACCATCATTCACTCCATCACTGTCTTGCCAGAAGGGTGCTTTACACTACAGTTTTTAAACTGCAACATTAACACCCCTCCTTCAGAGTGCAGGCACTGTACTTCCCATCTCCAGGACTCAAGTCCGGCCTGCCGGTTTCCCTGAATCCCTTCATAAATGTTACTTTGCTCACACTCCAACAGCACGTCAAGTATTAAAAACCATTTGTCTCCATTCACTCCTATCAAACACGCTCACGCATGCCTGCTGGAAGTCCAAGCCCCTCGCACACAAAACCTCCTTTACCCCCTCCCTCCAACCCTTCCTAGGCCGACCCCTACCCCGCCTTCCTTCCACTACAGACTGATACACTCTTGAAGTTATTCTGTTTCGCTCCATTCTCTCTACATGTCCGAACCACCTCAACAACCCTTCCTCAGCCCTCTGGACAACAGTTTTGGTAATCCCGCACCTCCTCCTAACTTTCAAACTACGAATTCTCTGCATTATATTCACACCACACATTGCCCTCAGACATGACATCTCCACTGCCTCCAGCCTTCTCCTCGCTGCAACATTCATCACCCATGCTTCATACCCATATAAGAGCGTTGGTAAAACTATACTCTCATACATTCCCCTCTTTGCCTCCAAGGACAAAGTTCTCTGTCTCCACAGACTCCTAAGTGCACCACTCACTCTTTTTCCCTCATCAATTCTATGATTCACCTCATCTTTCATAGACCCATCCGCTGACACGTCCACTCCCAAATATCTGAATACGTTCACCTCCTCCATACTCTCTCCCTCCAATCTGATATTCAATCTTTCATCACCTAATCTTTTGTTATCCTCATAAGCTTACTCTTTCCTGTATTCACCTTTAATTTTCTTCTTTTGCACACCCTACCAAATTCATCCACCAATCTCTGCAGCTTCTCTTCAGAATCTCCCAAGAGCACAGTGTCATCAGCAAAGAGCAGCTGTGACAACTCCCACCCTGTGTGTGATTCTTATCTTTTAACTCCACGCCTCTTGCCAAGACCCTCGCATTTACTTCTCTTACAACCCCATCTATAAATATATTAAACAACCATGGTGACATCACACATCCTTGTCTAAGGCCTACTTTTACTGGAAAAAATTTCCCTCTTTCTACATACTCTAACTTGAGCCTCACTATCCTCGTAAAAACTCTCACTGCTTTCAGTAACCTACCTCCTACACCATACACTTGCAACATCTGCCACATTGCCCCCCTATCCACCCTGTCATAACGCCTTTTCCAAATCCATAAATGCCACAAAGACCTCTTTAGCCTTATCTAAATACTGTTCACTTATATATATATATAATATATAAATATATATATATATAAAATATATATATATATATATATATATATATATATATATATATATATATCAATAACAACACTGTGACTAGCCGAGGTGCTGCGCAAACCAACTCCAAGACTGAGGGACTGATTACCTCATTTGTATATAGTTCTACTGTCTTCAAATTATGTTCTAGAAGCTGTACTGATAAAACCACTGAATGGCGAAACGTCTACACTAAAGATACCCAGATGTTGCACATGTGTATGTGTCTAAATTTTCATCTTGTTGGTATTGCATGCCATTGTTGTATAACACGCTCACGCATGCTTGCTGAAAGTCCAAGCCTCTTGCACACAAAACCTCCTTTATCCCCTCCCTCCAGCCTTTCCTTGGCCGACCTCTACCCCGCCTGAAGACAGAGAACTTTATCCATGGATGGAAAAAAAGATAATCGTTCTAGAGAGTAGTGGTACCAACATTGTTATAAAGGTATGAAAGATAGGTTTTGAATATTTTATCGAGGATGAGGAGGCAGCGATGTCTTGTTGGAGGGAGATGTGTGGTATACTTATAATGCAGAGAATTCTGAGCATAGATATTAAGAGTAGTTGAGGAGTTACCTAAAGAATAATTCACAGGGTTGAAGAGGAGGTATTAAGGTGACTTGGGCATCTATAAAGAATAAAACCTGGTGACTTGAGATTAATTAATCACACAGTCAAACTCACCGTAAACTCTAGCAGTTCCGAATTTCTCACAGGTGGGGTTTCCCTAATTAAGAGAGGCAAACTATATCAGTGGTACCTCTGTCAGGTGTCTGTATCGACACTTACTTCCTTTGCACAGAGGCTGACTACCCAGGGCACTGGGATGGTGGAGACGTCACCAAGTGTGCTAGTCACGTGACCTTATGGTTACCAGTGTCACTCACTATGCCTGTACAGGTGTAGTGACTGACAGCGGTGAGCTCCCATACTGTCTTAGGGTGAGTCACAGTGCACGCTAACAAGAAGTCACGTTTGTGCCATGCTCTTGTGAATCCGTTGCAAATTTAGGATCCACTAATCGCTTACTCGGGTCTTCTGGGCTCTATACAGCGATCGGTTAATTTGCTGATAATAGCAGTGTCGTTAATTAAGGTCCCTCGAAGTGGGGCCTTAATTTGTATATAGTTCTACTGTCTTCAAATTATGTTCTAGAAGCTGCGTTGATAAAACCACTGGATGGCGAAATGTTTAAATTAAAGACACCCAGATGTTGCACTTGTGTCTAAATTTTCATCTTGTCGGTATTGCATACTATTGTTGCATAACACGCTCACGCATGCTTGCTGGAAGTCCAAGCCTCTCGCACACTAAACCTCCTTTAATTAATCGTGGAGTGTCACCCATTTGAAAATTCCACGAGGCTAGGCACTGGACAGAAGGTTGCAATATATGGCAAATGGTTTGAACACTGACAGTGTTCTAAGCTACTGGGACTGTCAGACATTGATTAAATAAAAATCATAGCCTTGTGAGACAGGATCAAATCTAAATTGAGCCTTGAAGGACACATATCTTAAGAACTGTAATATTACATTAGGTTCCCCATGAGCAAAGGTAAAGAGACAGAGGGGGATACTCTGGTTACTTACTCCCTTTACCCCTTAATGGGGATGTGTCTGGTTCTTCACCTTCCCCCCCCCCCTCCCCGTCGTGTTATCAGGGGTAAAGAGTTGGTGGAAAATTCCATCACATGTGTAAGACGTCCTGTGTGTTAAAAAATAATGATGAACACTTCAATCACTGATGATAATATTATTCTAATGAGTAGGAATAACACACACACACACACACACACACACACACACACACACACACACACACACTCACTCACTCGAGTTATACGACAAGGCGACGTAACTAAGACAAGAGAGACAAGGGTTGGTAGATAACATTTTCTTGGACTGTAAGAAGGATTTTGACACAGTTTCTCACGAGAGATTAGTGCAAAAGCTGGAGGACCAGGCAGGTATAACAGGAAATGATCAGATAATACCAAATCGGAAAGCAACAACGAATCATGGTACGTGACGAGGTGTCAGAGTGGGCGCCGGTGACGAGCGGGGTTCCACAGGGGTCATTCCGGTGCTGTTTCTGGAATATGTAAAAACATGACGGAAGGGATGGATTCAGAGGTATCCCTGTTTGCAGACGATATGAAGCTAATGAGGAGAATAATCCAGTCGGATGAGGATCTGGAGGGACTACAAAGGGATCTGGACAGCTTGCAAGCCTGGTCCAGTAACTGGTTCCTGTAGTTTAATCCCACCAAATACATAGTTATGAAGATGGGGGAAGGGCAAACAAGACCCCACATAGAGTACAGTCTACGGGGTCAACGACTACATACCTCACTCAAGAAAAAGGTTCTTGGGGTGAGCATAATATCTAGCACATCTCATGAGGTGCGCATCAACCAAGTAACTGCTGCAGCATATGAACGAACGAACGAAAGTTCAGGTAAGATCCCAAATGGGATGAGCGGGGAAGACGGGACAGACGAAGAATAGTGCTGGAGAGGAGTGTTCTTAGTCGTAGAAATAGAGCCAGGGCTTAACCCAGCAGCAAAGGCGATCGTGGGACAGATATTGAAAAGAGAAATTCCGGTTCTTCTGTTGGGACTCCGGTGGGGTGAGCTGGGAGTAAGGGACTTGCGACGTTTAGAGCTAGAGAGGAGTGCAGAACTGAGTCATGTCTTAACCCAAAAAAGATAAGGCGAACGTGGGTCAGAGAATGGTACCTGTCTTAGAAGGTACCTGTCAGCGGATCCAAGGTTATTTGTAAGTAGGGTTAGGAGCAGGATCATGCAAGGAGTAGAAAAGGTTGTGTTGGTTTGTGGGTCTGCGAATGTCGAATGTCTTCGTCAAGGAGAGAGGTCCAGTAGTCATGTCGTGTCTCAAGTTTGTCTATCTGTCTGTCACTGAGCCTCTTCCAGTACAGATTCAGCGCAGGGACGTCTAACTGGGCATGGAGAGACTCCCTTGTTGGCGAAGTCCTCCCATCTGACATCAAGCACCCAGCGCAGCGGGCCCTTTTTCTGGAAAACGCTGCAGTTTAAGTAAATTTGTTTTTGCTGCAAGAGAGGGCTAAGGAAGTAAGTTATCAAAAGGACGT